CAAAGTATACAGAGGTGTCACTTTTGACATTTAAAAAAGTCTAAAATCAGCTTTTGTTTGATTTTGAAATTATTTGGTGAGAAGAGGTATATAAAATACAGCTAAAAAAATTATTGAATTCGTTTTGTGCGAAAGAGAGGGAAATAGTTTTTTGCTCGTGACGCCTCTGTATACCCTGTGGTTGCTTAACAGCATTCAACAATGTAGGTTGATGTCGCTTTGTTTCAAATATTGCAAAAACAATTTGTAAAAACAACAACACAATTTGTAAACAAGATAATTACTTGCAAAAACTCGTACACTCCAAAAAAATTTCACTAATGCATAAGAATGAAAACAGATAAACAGTATTTTTGATACTTTGTATACACATTTTAAATAAAAAACTTTATCTTTGTGAAGAAATATACATTTTTCTTTCTTTGAATATGTTTTATCTGTAAAATTTACCGTTCTACTTGTTATTAATATTTTTTCTAAGTGTTTTTTTTAGTATTTTCCCACCACTACACAGTTTTTTAGTATCTCTCTTTCTGCGCTTGGCTGATATATATTCTGGATCCTTATAGATATTGGATTCGATTAAGCCATGTACGTCTGTCTGTTTGTGTGTGTGTAGAAATCAATTTTCTGAAGACCTCAGAGATCTTTAGGATCTCAGTCTTCAATAATTCTATCTGACATGCTTTGGAGAAGTTTCTTATTTAAAATCAACAAAATAGGTTCATAAATGATGAGGATATGTGCAAAAATCTGAGACCTCAGAAAATTTCGTCAAAAAAATTGTATTTTTTTTATGCAGACGCAAGAAAAAAAGAGCACCATTCAGATTGTGCTTGTCTTTTGTGCGAACTATCTGTCATTTAAGTTTTTTGACGTAAGTTATTGGAAACTTGTGAGTAAAAGTGTACGAAATTTTGTGAGAAGTTTCTCATATTAACTGTCAAAAAAACTCTCATTTTAAAACAATTTTTAGAAAAAAAAAAATTAATTTAAATTTAGAATTAGAATTTGCCTGGGGAGAATTTATTTGGATAATTTTTTGAACTCTTTAATTTTTATATTTTTATTTATTTAATCTTCGTTGATATTATTGTTTGGCAACTTATGTTTTCTTCTTTTTCTTACATACATATGTTTTTGAGAGCTGTTTTATTGGAAATTTCCAATAAAAATGTTATTCGTGTTTTTGTTTCACACTTCTCGATGTGGGAACTTCTCACTAAAAGTTACATGAACGGGGTACAGACAGGGCTGCCAGATAAATTTGTAGAAATATCGGATATTTTTTCCCAAAAAATCGGCATTTATCGGCACTTACGTTTTAAAAATCGGCAATAAATCGACAATTGAAAGAAACACTATTTTGTACCAAAGAAACATAACACAAATAAATTCAAAAAGCACAATATTGTTTTTACATACATGCATAACTCAGGGAATTTTTATTCAGAATAGGTCTAATAAAAGAACTCTTTGTAAGGGTACACCGAAACTTTGGTTTACTGTAATAAAATCTATTAGAATTTGTATCACTTTTGCAGAAAAATGTAAATGTATAATTATTTGTGGATTACTGTAAAAAATTTTCAAATTTTGGTTATGAGTGATGTAGTTATTTCATACATCACTTGACAGTGAGTGATCGTTATCAACAATATTCTGGTTCTAATCCTAGTCAATATTAGAAGTTTTTTGAAAAAATATTGTTTTTTAAATTTTTGTTAAAACCATTCCAAATTGCACGATCAAATAGAATAGACTAATAAACACAGAAAATTACTGCAAAACCGATTTTAAATCCAGGAAAGTGGGTTTATCACATTTGTTATTGGTTATCGTCGAACAAAAAATTTTAAAATTTTAGCACCCAAACAAATTTTTAACAAATTTTTTATGGTTCGAAAATAAATTTACACATTTTTGTGGAAAAGTTAAAAAATCTGGAGAAAATTTCCCATTTTAAAAATGTACTCAGCAAAATCTTAACCTATCCGATTTTTGTTCGACGATAACCAATAACAAATGTGATAACCCCACTTTCCTGGATTTAAAATCGGCTTTGCAGTAATTTTCTGTGTTTATTAATCTATTCTATTTGATCGTGCAATTTGGAATGGTTTTAACAAAAATTTAAAAAGACTTTTAGATCCTATTCAGGATTTTCATACATAAATTGTGTTTCCTTTTCATAATCGATCCAATTGACATTGGTGATGGATTGTGTTTTACCGTACTGTAAATTTTCCTTTCCCAATTGTTTTAAAAGCTCCATGTAATTTTTGCTTATGTAAAGTTATAATAAATTCGTTAATTTGTTCGATTGGGTAAAAAATCGGCATTTTCGAAGCAAAATTCGGGAAATCGGCACACTACTATTTTGAAGGTAAAATATCGGCAAAATGCCGATAAATCGGCAAATTTGGCAGGCCTGGGTACAGAGTTTATTGTCATCTCGTGGCTCAATTTTTATTGTCAGATGTGCGAACTTTTTGCCCGTGTCTATATTAGACAAATATTTATCACAGCCCTTGACAGAACGTCGGCAGAAAAATTTTCGGTTTTTTATTTATGCCCAGCAAAAATAAAACGAAGTACTTCCAAAAGAATAACATCACCACTTCAAAAGTAGCACTAATTGAAATTTTTGAAGAAGCGAAAATAACTCTATTTTTTTAAATATTAAAGATATATTTTTTGTTCTGACATTTTTATGAGATAAAAAATGTTATATTTGGGCTTTTGTATTAATTGTTCTATTACTTTAATTAATGTTAATATCATTTAAGTCATATTAGTTGTATTCTATAATACTACAATTTCACTTTCGAATAACTTCCAAAAAAAGAGCATTAAAATTACTTCTTGAGAATTACATCAGAAGTAGTGAATTTGGAATTATATCATAGGACATCCCTCCTATGACAAGCCTGTGTAAAAATCATCACTTCTTCAGATTTTTTCAGTTTTTTCCATGGAGTAAATTCTACTTCTTTTTCGCTTCTTTGGAATTTCTGTTTTTGCTGGGTGTTAATGCTTAGGAGTGACAAAATGCTGATGTTATCAAGACAACTCACAAATAATTTTACCAAAATAATTTTATATTTATAAAAACAATTAAAATTAAATACAACAATGAACACTAATTTCACTAAAACGTATGTCAAAAATCAATTTTAATTTCCACAAATTTTACAATACAATGACGTTTGTTATCAAGACAACGTTGTCTAAACAATTGTTTAGACAACACACGTCGCCATAACGCTAATAATTGCCGTCTGTACCTGCTAATTTTTTGACATGATAACAATTGACCTTTAGCATAATAAATATTTGTCTAATATAGACAGTGGGCTATGCAACACTGTGCATTAAACGAACATATGCTGTTAAAATAAGATCTAGAAATTTTTGCCTTACAACAATCTGATATTAAGCCCATGTGTAGTTCAGACAAATTTTTATTATGCTAAACGTTAAATTGTTACCATGATGAAAAATTAGCATTGTTATGAAAATGTTGTCTAAGCAATTGTGTAGACAACGTTGTCATGATAACAAACGTCATTGTATTCTAAATATTTTATAGAATATAGTTTTTTGTCATTAAAATTGATTTTTAACATAAGTTTTTAATGAAATTAGTGTTTATTGTTGACAAAATCACCATTTTGAAATAATGATATATTTTATATGCATTAACATACAACAATTGACAATTGTTCTGCCGAAGTTTTATTATATATTGTGATAAATATGTGTTTAATATAGACAGGGGTTAATGTGAACTGACAATTCTTTTCAATGTCTGTCAATTGTCTGGCAATGAAATAGTCAGACTTTTTTGAGCCCGTGTCTATATAACCCAAATATTTTCGTATTTTAATCGCTTATAATTGAATCTGAAACGATTTTAAGTTTCTCAACAGATTTAGAAGATGAAGTCTTTACAACGACATACATGATGTTTAAATGACCCCAACAAATATTTGTGCATTTCATCAGCAAACATATTTTAGATTTTAGTTTTGTACCGTTTTCCAAGTTGGAGATGTTTTTTTTCAAAGTGTTTTATATAGGAACTGTACTATTTATTAAATAAAACATAAGAAAACTATGTTTGTTTATGAGTAAAAGGCAGGTTTGTTTTTCAAAATCCGTTAGCAATTGCCGACTAAACGAAGAATATTATTTTTGGAGCTATTCACACCTTCCTCTAATAAATGTTAATAATGAAAAAGCAACAGAGAAAGTACAATACTGAAGGTATTGAGTTATGTTCTGTGTAAAAATATAGAAAATTATTAAAATTTTCATTAAATGAAAATACTCACTGACAACAGTGAGTTTTAAACGCTGTTCAGCTCCACCACAATTTCCCAAGATTTTATGAAAATAAAACAAAATATTTGCAAATTTAATGAGACGTAGATCTCTCTGTATTTATTTATTATTATTATTTTACCTCGTAGAAGCAATAACGCCAAGAGCACGTAGTGCTTATGTTGACGATCAGAAAAGAAGTGTTTTTTAATTTACAAAACGTAGATTGGTGGCAAACAATATTTAGGTACCGTTAACGGTTTACTCGTTAGAATTTTCCAACAAAGTTGTAAATAAAGCGGAGCTTAATAAGATTCTAACGTTGCAGAAAATAGTATTTGCATATGTTATCAAAACAAGTGTAAACCATAAATCGAACTTGAACAAACGCAAAACAAAAAACGTACATGGATAATTATGTTGTCATCACCCTATGTGAATTTGCCTTGGTACAAATTCTACAATCAGCTGTGCCGTCAATAGCAACTTACACAGTGTATTAATAAAGTGAACTCAGACGTCCATCTGATATTATTCAGACATAAAATTAAAAACAAAAACAACAGTTAAATTTTGACAAATTTATAGAATACAAAGTTTATCACAAAAACAACGGACAAATTTTGACAGACGGTTAGTAATAACAAAAACAAATTGCCTATGGATTTTACAGATGTCTGTTAAACAACAAGTTCTGTTGTTAATTAATGCAACTTTACGTAAATTCACAATGAACATGTGGATATCAATATAATCCATGTATAGCCAAGTTTACCTCACAAGAATTCGCTTTGTTCGAGTGCACAACAATCAACAATAAATATATAAAGTTTGTGCAATCAATAAATACTACACTATTTTTGTTTTTATTTCGTGGTAAATGTTTACTTCCGCATTGTTGATATTGAAATGTGATTTAGTGTTAAAAAAGTTAAACTGAATTAAAACCGTGTGCCTTATATTGAAAATTTAAACGCTAAAAAATAAAATTAATTTTCCAACATAACTTCTAACAAACATGACAAAATAAAACTGTCCGTTACTCTATTAAGCGTAAAAAGACCATGACAGGAAAAATGGTAAAGCATAAATGTGAGTGTTTCTGTCTAATAAATGAATAATAATAACAAAAAAAACATTGAATACTTCAGTCTGTTTGACCTAGTGAACGTTTGTTAAAGCAAAAACATGCATGTTCATATGTACATTTGTTTGTCATAGATAAACCGGCACGATGGAGGCCATATCTACAACAGCTTTAAAAGTTTTGTGTTAAAACACAAACTTGGTGTATCCATAGTTTCATGATTAAATATTTTCTATATACCCTTCTAATCACCAAAGTCCAAGTAATTAATAAGTAAAACAATACATATGTACATATGTATGTACGTATGTACATATGTATGTACAACACTAATAAAAACATACTTAATCATTTGATAGCGACAGGGATGGAAAGTTCAATGTTATTGTACTTTTTGTCATCAAATATACGTAACTCACTATCACTCCATGATATCGTTCATTTACTACAAGACTGACATAATCCAATATTCAGGTTTTTTGAACTGAGAGCTGAAAAACATACTTTTAAAAAATATTGAATAATTTTAAATTAAGATAAGAAACACATTAACATTTACTATCTGAATCTAGTTGAAGTTTTCAAATCTCTCGATTTTTTTAAATTTATTTAGAAAATGTCATTATTATACCCTACACCACTTTAGTGGGGAGGGTATAATAATTGGATTTGTGCTGATGTTTGTAACATACAAAAATATTCGTCTTAGATCCACATTAAAGTATACCAATCGGCTTAGAATCGTTTTCTGAGTCGATTAAGCTATGTCCGTCCGTCTGGCTGGCTGGCTGGCTGTCCATGTAAACCTTGTGCGCAAGGTACAGGTCGCAATTTTCAAGATAATTGGATGAAATTTGGCACGCACGTTTTGACCCAAGGACGAAGTCTATTGAAAATGGTTTAAATCGGTCCATTATTTCACCTAGCCCCCATAGAACAGAACCCCCGAAAAGGGCTTCTGAGCTTATAATTATGTTAAATATACAGATATATCGATAAAATACGGCACAACTAAGTTTTATAGAAGTCTTGATGACCCTGCCAAATTTCATAAAGATCGTGCCCCATTTGACCCCAGCTCCCATAAAAAGTCCCCTTCAGAAAATTACTTGAATGTCCCAAATTAACTTATAAACACAAATATCGCGATGAAATTCAGCACAATAAAATATTATGTAAATTGTGCTTGGTCCATATTTGCTCCTAGCCCCCATATAAAGCCTCTTTCAGAAAATTAGTTTTTCATCCATAAATTGCTTAAATGTATCGGAACAAGGGAATATTGAAGATAAATGCTTTATTATGAAAAATAAATCACATAATATTCATAAATGGTGTAGGGTATCATATGGTCGGCCACGCCCGACTATACTTTCTTACTTGTTAAATATTATTTTTTCTCAAAATGACTTTTGCATTATGCCTGTCTTGTAATAAATTATCGCAGGCGCGTTTCCACGGGCTGCAGTTTTTTTCATTTCAAACTATTTTTTCAAATAAAAATTTTCATAAATAAAAAAATTTAATAGAGGTAACTTTCGATGAAATTATGGCAGAATTGGACAAAAAAAAAAAAAAAACGAATGAAAAAAGTTTAAATTTTATTTATATTTCATAGTGCTTTTTTTGTGGTATTATTAGGAAATATGAAGAACATTTCAATAAATTTTATAAAATTAAAGAAAGTTATTGAATTTTTTTATTATTTCTTGCGTTGTCATTTAAAATCAAACAAAAAAAATATATATTATTCTCAATATCAATTTGTATTATTTATATTATTCTCAATATCATTTGTTCTTATAAGTTTAAAACTAATTGGACAATGTACGGGACCTTACTAAATAATAACTTAGGACAGGGCACTTTTCAATGTCGAAATAAAGAGGATTTAAACGCCAAAGTAGAAACGTTCAAAATTACACTGGTCGGGTACCATAGATGAACCGATGTTGGGGGAAAGGGAGGGTTCCCTCTAACTCCGGCAGTTCTTGACCGATGGTAAATTTGTATGCGGACTTTTCAATAGTATTAACCTCGGTGTAAATTTCATCCAAGACATCGATTTTAAAAGTTGGATCACTTGACATATTTATTTTATTAACATTACCTAGACTTTATAAGGCCATAGACGGTTATAAATTTCAACTAAAAAATACAACAAAATGTTCTTATAATATAAAATGCAATATAAAAATAAAAAAGCGTAATTTTCTAACTGAAAATGGGTAAAAAAGCACTAACGTTTTTTTAGTCAAATATTGTATATTTTAATAAAAATTGCACATTATTTCGCTCATTTCCTACAAGACTCCAAAATTCGTTTTTTAGAACATTGGGCTACAAAACAAAACATGCGTCATACTAAAGTCTTTCATCTGTATGAGTTAGATTTTTAGTAACGTAAGAACTAAAACTAATGTTTGACGAATATTAGATAAATAAGATGAGAAATTTTCAAATTCCTTAATTTGTTTAAAAGTTATTTTAAAAATAGTAAAATGTCATTCAAACTGACAGGCACACTACCAACTGGCCAACCGATGTAACCACACCCAAATTGTAAAATTGTACAAAACTTATGAAATATATTTTTTTTTTGCAAAATCTATATATATTATTTTTAAGTTTTTTGAGTTCTGGAAAAATTTTTAATTTCACTGATAGTGAATAACATAACTTATTTTAACGTATTTTGAATATTTTGTTTTTTGTTTTTGAAGAATATTTGCTTTTAAAACTCAACACAAATAAAAAAACTTTAGAGCACCCGTGTAAAAAAATATAAAACAGTTTTTAAGAAAATTTAGTCCTTAGTGTAAACTATTAAACTGATCGTATTCTAATAAGCAACAAAAAGTGGTACAAATAGAAAGATCAAAGAATGATCCCTCAGTTTTCTTAACATTATAGAGAAAATGTTTAATATTAATTAAATAAATTACCTCCTGAAATTCACAATTATTTTAAAATATTTTAACAAGTAAGAGTGTTATATTCGGCTGTGCCGAATCTTATATACCCACCATCAAATCTTATGACGTAAAAGGAATGCTTCTCTGTAAACATCAGGGAGATTAGGCTTAATTCAATTATGTACGTGATCTTCGAATTAACAAAATATTAATTTTTAAAAACAAAATATATATATATCAGAGGTAGTGTCAATTATGAACTGTTTGTCGTAAAATTTGGTGGAAAGACTTCGTATAACACTTATTCGTTTCGAATTTCATTGCTGTTCTCGAATTTTTAATTTAATTCAGACATAAGCGTAAAAGTTATTATCTAAAGGGGAACTTATATGGGGTTGGGACAATTATATATCGATACCCATAAAATTTTGTACATAGATTTTGTTTTGTTGGTCAGTTATATCGTCATAAAATTCGGAATAAAGAATTATAATAAAAATCTTTTTATTGCGAGTACAACGATGAAGTAATCATGGAGGCTTTATATAGGAGGGATAGGTTCAATTGTGTAAAAATATTGTATAAAACTTATTTTTTGTCAATTTTCATCGCTGTACTCATATTTTTAAGGGGATCTTAATAGGGGGTAGGGTAGGTTACCGAAAAATCCTAATTAAATTTGGTAGGAAGATTACGTTTGTATAAAAGTTGTTTATTTCGAATTTCTCCGCTATACTCGTATTTTTAAGTCAGTAAAGAGCGTTAAAATCAATTTTTGAAGGTGACCATATGTGGGGTAGGGTCAATTATGGACCGATTGCCGTAAAATTTGCTAGAGAGATTTTGGCTTATATAAAACATATATATGTCGAATATTTTTAAGTCGGTAATGAGTATTAATGTCATTTGGTAGAGAAATTTTGATGCATATAAAAGTTACTTATGTTGAATTTCAACGCTGCACTCATAGGGGGACCTTATTTGGGGGTAAGGTCAGTTATGGACCGATTCCCATAAAATTTGGTAGAGACATTTTGCCTTATATAAAACTTATTTATGCCGAATTTCATCGCTTTAAATCATTTTCTGAAGGAGACCTTATATGGGGGTAGGCTCAATTATAGACCTATTTCTATAAAATTTAGCTTATATAAAACTTACTTATGTTGAATTTCATCGCTATACTCGTATGGGAGGTAGGGACAATTTTAGACCGATTCCCATAAAATTTGGTACAGAGATTTTGACGCATATAAAACTTATTTATGCCAAATTTTATCGCTATACTCGTATGTTTAAAACAGTTGTGACTGTTAAAGCTGTTTTTCGGGGGGGGCCACTTGTATGGGGGATATGCTAAATTGTGGACCCATATTGCCCATTTGTCATACCAAACAAACCTTACCTATAAGAAATATTTGTGGAAAAATTTAACTCGCTTGCTCTTTCCGTTCTAACCCTATCGTGCTTTCAACAGACAGACGGACGGACAGATGAACAGACGGATGGACAAGGTTAGATCGCCTTAGAATTTAATAAGGACCCAAAATATATATACTTTTGTGGGTCTACGACCAATATTTCGATGTGTTACAAACGGAGTGACAAAATCAATATACCCCACTCATCTTTTTTGATGGTGGGTATAAAAAGCACTAAATGCACTGTCATAAAATTAGAAAGCACCACTGTAGTGCCTTTTTGAAAAAAGGCACCATGAGCAAAATTTTCCGCGTTTGGCACACCAAAAGGCACCGCAAATAGTGCTAAAAGCACTAAGTTGGCAACACTGATTGCATTGCCGAAATACCGTGATTTTTCGGAATTAACCAAATTTCTTCATTTTATACATGAAATCTTAAAATCATCATTTGTAAAGAGAATTGTTTAATTTTGTGGAAATTAAAGAGAAATGTTATACATACAGTGGCGGCCATGAGGTTAGCACATTTGGTATCTGTTAAATATAACATCAAATATTTCCTATAGTTCTTAACTTTTTTAACAAATTTGTAACCGATTATGGCCAATAGGCTAGCTTTATTTTGGAAATAAATTAAATTAAATATAAGGCCATAAAGCTAAAATTT